CCACTGGCTATCCAAAGAACCAGACTGCAAAATAACTGTAGGCTATGATAGAATCACATTTCTCTGTTTATTGCTTAGTCTGAGATCTTTAAAAACAACAACCAAAAAAACCCTTATGCATTTATTTCCCAAACTGAATTTATTTTTCTTCATTCCCTTCTGGATAAAAGAAGCATAGAGATCAGAAGCTTTTTTCAACAAGTCACAAAATCAAAAATCACTGCTATGTATTACAACCAACTGCCAAATTAAGTTTTAAAACCAGAACCAATATGGTCAGTTTTTTGTTAGATACAGACGGTTTCACATTTTATGTTCCCCAAATTAACTTCTGGGTAAGCACTTTAAACCTTATACTTTATCTTTCCTTAGGATACATATATACTGACATTTTGTTGGGTAAGCCTGTTCCAAAGCAGGCAGGCAGCCTAAAACTAAAACAGGATAAAACGTTAACAAGGTTTTGCTAGTGCTAAGCATTTCAATTATTAATAGATGACCTAAGGAAATAAAAGAGAAATTCTCTTTTATAGCTAGATGGCAGCAGATACCAGGAGTAGATAGAAAAAGTATTAAAACAAAGGATCAAAGACTTCTGCAAACAATTAAAAGAAATCTTAGCACAAGGTAATTTGTATTATAATTATATTTTTTAAACAAATTAAATACAAGTAAATGTTTGGAAATTAAAATGATAATAAAAACAATATTATAAAAGTAAGTTTTGAGATTTCACTACTATATTTTTGTCTTATTTTGCTGTGCCATTTATGCAGCTGATAAGTTTTAAATACAGTATTTGTCATAGCCCAAGTGATCTTCTTTTATTTACATAATTTCAATCAGACGTTGAACGTTCATTCTTTCATATCTTTTGATTTTGATATTTTATTACTGCATTTTGTTTTATTTCTAATATATTTTAGAATTATAGGAACACTCCTGAATCTGATTTGCATTCTACCTCTATATTTGGATAAAGGGAGGTCTAAAAGTTTAATTATCTTCCTCCTAATAGGGTTTTTATTATATTTATTCATTTAAATTTATATGGATTTCTGTCTCAAAGTCATGACTGTGGGTGGCTGACAACAATTAAAAACTACATAAAAATATATAAAACCCCATAGAAATACTAATCAGTAGCCAAGGTTAAAATAAAAATTAACAGTGACAAATTAATACAATGACTGCACAATTTTCTACACATCCAGTTCCCCAGCACAGGGCCAAAACTGCATCTTTAAGGCCTTGCAAAAAAGACAGAAGGGTTGGGGCCAACCTAATCCCTGGAAGAGAAAATCCTCTCTTCCTGGGCCCCATCAGATGACATTCTGTAATAGATAGGACCTGGATCTTTAATGCTTATTAAAAGGAACAATTTGTTTTGGCTGGATTGCTGCTGTTGACTATGGATGCTTCCTTTAGCTGAAATGGTTTCCATGATATTTTGAAAGGAGATCTGGAGGAACATTGATTGTGTGGAATATGTAGCTCCCTGTCTGAAAGTGATAATGCACTGGGCAGAGGTTGGATGTGGGCAGGGACATGGGTGGGGAGGCTTAACTTGCAAGCCCCAAGGAGAATGTTTGAAGGAACACAAGGAGGAATGTAAGTAAGTAGGAGGTCGAGATGAGATACATTACTGAAAGTGCTTGAAAGAAAAGAGATGATCAGTAGTGGGTTAAGCAGTCTCAGTTATGTCTGGGGATGGAGAATCCTACTGGAATGGTGGGGGAGGAATCAAATGCCATTTAACACCTTGAAGAGGTCAAACATCAATTTGGGTGAGGTATCATCAATACTCTGATCATACCCAGCCATTTGTTACCTTCCTAGGCTGAGCCATAGATCCACAGGAGATCTTTATTCGATATCTGGAAGCTGAAAAGGATCGGATGGGAAAAACTGGGTGAAATTAAACCCAGGCAAAGTGGAAGTAGTGTTCATACAAAAAGGAAAGCTGCATGATTCAGACTTCTATTCTGGCTCTGGACAAGATTACCTTCCCCACTATGTTCATACACATTCACACGCCTATCTGAATTCAAGCTCCTGTTTGATCAGCAAATAGAGAGCCCTACACTAATAAAACCCTCTTTTTTTGGTGGTGGTGGATAACTTGTGAAACTAACTCATCACTAACACCTCTATTATATAGGAATGCAACATATTATTCCTGGGGCTACTTTTGAAGGCATCTGAAAAATTGCAGTTGGTCCAGAATACCATGGCCTAATTAATATATACAGAAGTTTATGGAGATTCTCAGTCATCCAGGTCATGGTTGTTCCAAAGATGCTTTTCAAAAGGCAACTGGACTTTGTTTTTCCTTGAAGACATTTTGCTTGCTATTCAAAAAGCTTCTTCAGTTCTGACTGAATGGTGGAGGATGGAAGAATTTATATTCCTTACAGTCATCTGTTTGTTAGCAAGGAATATAAATCCTTCCATCCTCCACCATTCAATCAGAACTAAAGAAACGTCTTGGATGAGAAGTGAAACATCTTCAAGAAAAAAGTCCAGTTGCCTTTTGAAAAACAGTATATTGGGATAATATATACTGATCTTCTTTGTGGGCTCAACACTGATTGGCCAATAGGTTTCTGAATTCAGTTCAAAATGCTGGTATGAATTATAACGTCCATCTTGGTTGTCTTTGAAATCAGGAAGAATCTACCTATCCTGCAAAGTCTTCCTGGGACAGGGTGTTTCCACGTCCTGATCCCACATTACACTTTTTGTTTGGTTGTTTGTTTTACATGGCTGCCGGCACCACAGTAGAGCCTCTGGATAGTTAAAAACAAGCTTTAAAATAAGAAAACCAAACCAAACTAACCTCAATAAAAAACAGATCTTAAAATAAATACATTAATACATGTTGGGAGGTGGAAGCAGACCTCCTTGGTTGCATTGCAGACAGCTTGTTCTCCAAGTTGAGGTTGCCCCCTCCCCAATTTTGTTCTCCCAGATATTTGAGGATTAGTGTTTTTGGGGCAGCTGGATTTGAGTTGTTGATTGCTTGCAGCAAAATCTATTGTTGTGGCTTTGGTGAGATATATGGCTTTATTGGTCGTATTTTCTTTCTTGCTGCATTTTACAAACAACCCAGAGTATAGAGATTAGAGTGGTAGGTAATATATGAAATAAAAGAAATCCTCCCAGGGAAGTCCCATTGAATGTAATGGAATTTCTATTTAGGTCAGAACAGGATTGTAGCATTACTTCTGTGAATGGCTTACCCTGTTGCCTGAAACTAGTACCATCACAATAGTGAAATCTGTCAACTTTAAGAGAACAACACTAATTCAACAACACACTGACTGAATTGAGTAGGGTGATACAGGAACCCTTTGCTATGCTTTCAGAAATTTATTTCTGCTGGCTGATGCCAAAGGTTTTTTTGGGCAGGGATATCTGTCAGAATTGCCCTGTCGGCCAAGATATGGATCATTTGAGGATACATTCCTGTTGCTGCCAGCAGTCCTAAGTAATTTCCAACAATAGGCTTATCTAGTCTTCCTTCAAAATCAGTTGGTAGTTAGCTCAATGCCATGAATTCTACTAGATACATACATTTTGGACACATGTAATCTTGATCATCATCTAGAGCAGCGGTCTTCAACCTTTGGGGCTTGGTGGCCCAGCAGGGGAGGGGGGAGAGGAACCAGATCCTGCGAGCACCGGGCCAGCACACATGTGCAGCTCAACTTGCATGAGTGGTGGCCTGGCAGCATGCGCAGCATGACTTGCGCAAGTGGTGCTGTGCATGTGCGCCAGCCCGCTGCTTGTGTGGCCTAGGTTGCAGATAGGCCATGGCCCGGGACACAGCCTGGGGATTGTGATCTAGAGCAGAATATTCTCTTAAACTGAAAGACTGAACCAAATCTGTTTGCATAGAAAGCAGTTGCTTTTTTTTTTTTTTTGGTCAACCCTGGAAAATGAAGAGTTGTTTACATGGCAGTACAACACACTAGTTTTTATGCATTTAGATAACATTTTGAATCCTGCTCAAGGATACACAACTGGTATCACAGCCAAGCCAGAATTTGACTGTTTCCAAATTCATTCTTTCCATTATACCATTCAAGTTCTTTCAATCCAAAAGCTTGGAAGAGACAGATTATTTCTATCTCCTTACTAAAATGAGGGAACTAGCTATGCAAGTTACATTTCACTTATCACATCATCTCTGCCAGAAATGTTTACACAGTAAAACAACTTGGACTTAAAAGCTCTCAGAGTGTGAAGATGACAGAGATCAAATTGGCTGCATGTATCGCTCAAAACAAATGCTTAGGGATGTACCTTAGAAAAGACATGGTAAGTTACAGCTTACTATTTGTGAAAAGCAGTAGGGAAAAGCAAGTAAAAGGAGAATTCTGATAGGACAGAGATAATTGGAAAATAATTCTATGAAATGATGCTTCTTTCCCACATTACATTAATAAGAGGGAGCTTTCATACTGGAGGGGTTGAGTTAACCACCCCCCTGGTGGGTCTGGCTCCTTTCTTTGCCATCTTATCTTTTTGATTTTATCTATTAATGTTTCATTTGCTGTATTTTTATAATGGATGATTTTAATGTTTTTCAATGAGTTTATGTTGTAAGCTGCCCAGAGTCACCGGATACAAAATGGGAAGCAAATACAAGATCTGAAAATGGGGCTATTTGGTGGCTTCTGCCCTTTGTGACTGTAGTGACATGCAGACAACAACACTTATGTGTAATGATACTTATCCTTTGTGTCCTGATCAGTGCACACTTGCAGACTTCAGGGCACACAATAGAATTTAATTAATGTTGCTAGTTTCTGGGCAAGATCTGTTTAATTTGTACATATTTTAAACTTGTATTTTAAATTTTATGATATATAGTATGCCTTATTTAATTGTGATAGGAATAAACAAACTTTTAATTTTTTTTAATTATATAGCTTTGTTTGTGTAATCACATTTGGTATGCCAAGTGAATCTTATTTCCTTATGACATCTCTTACCTGTCCCTGAGAATTGTCCAAAGCTCTCCACCTAAACAGGCTTCCATCAACATATATAAATACTTGCTGTCCTTAAATGTCCTATATAGCCTATAAAAGAAAGGGGGAAAAGAATTATGAATGCTTACTGGAGTTTGAAATATTAAATAATAAGTCTATGATCTTCTGCCACTTAAAGACTAGTTGGTGGTTTTTAGGTGTATTGTTATCGTTCTGAGAAAAAATGAGTCTATCTAATCTATTCAGACTTCCGTCAATTAATTTTTTTCCTGAATTCAGTAGACAACATGTGACTTAGCTTTTGAGGATTTCTGCTGCTTTTTTCTTTTCCTGCATCAAGGGAATATAAATACTGGAGGCTTACTATACCAACTGTTGCCAATCTCTAATAAATAAAAGATGTTGTAAGACATTTGGCCTTGCCAGGATCAATGAATTGCCTTCAGCTATCATTTATGGCAAATATCAAAAGATTGTCCATCAAGAATGCCTCTGCCTCTGGGTTCCCAGTTACAGAGGATATGCAACATGTCCTATAATATGGTAATTCTGAGATGGACTTAAGTGGTACATTGATTTGACATCTCATAAAAACACTGCCAGATGCAGAAGAAAACTGTTGCATCTCTTTTCTGGCAACAGACCAGAAAATTTGGCCTATCGGCTTGGAAAACATGTTTGTAAATACGACCCAACAAGGTTGATTTCTTTTAAAACTTTTAATTGTCTTTTTCTTGTGAAATTGCTTTACATATTATTTCATGTTCTTTTTTGGATTCTCCATTATAGTGAGAGCAAAAGCACTAGCACTTAAACATATATATTGCTTCCTAGTGCTTCACAGCTGTCTCTAAGAGATTTACAGAGACAGCATATTGCCCCCACAGTCTGAGTCAGGGGTAGGCAACCTTGGCTCTTTTATGACTTGTGGACTTCAACTCCCAGAATTCCTGAGCCAGCAGGTTGCCTACCCCTGGTCTGGGTCCTATTTTACTGACCTTGGAAGGATGGAAGGCTGAGTCAACCTTGAGCCGGAGAGAATCGAACTGCTGACAGTTAGCAGAATTAGGCTGCAATATTGCATTCTAACCTATGTGCCATATGGCTCTATTTATGAATAATGAAGGAACTTAGGTGTATATATAGTTTAAGACCGTATGAGAGATGATTTGTTTTGCTCCTTTCTTGTCTTGTCCGTATTACTCCCTAGCTTGATGAATAATTCTGACATATACAGATCTCACATTTTTGCAATATTTGGACTGCTTTTAATCAAAATAAGCTATTCTGTGAAGGGATTTTAGTATATTTTTCTTATTTACAATATTTTTGCTAGAAAACTGGATATTATGAATTACCTCTCAGGCAGAAACAACTTTTACTTGTATTTTTACTATTTTATAACAAGTTTCATAAAATTATAATGAAGATGACTCAAAGGAGGTTAGGGATCCAAGTATATAAAGAAGCAAAGGCAGAATTCAATGTTGTTCCAAGCCACTTTGTAACATTTTGGAGATACAAATGTGTGCATGTTTGTGTATATCCATCCATACACAATGAGTTACTATGACCTGTTCTGCTACAGCTCTTAGTTAAGAATGGGAAGGAGAGCAGAAATAACAATAGCAATAGCACTTAGATTTATATACTGCTTCATAGTACTTCACAGCCCTCTCTAAGCGGTTTACAGCCCTCTCAGCATATTACCGACCTCAGAAGGATGGAAGTTTGAGTCAACCTTGAGCTGGTGAGAATTGAACTGCTGGCTGTTGGCAGAATTAGGCTGCAATACTGCATTCTAACCACTAAACCACAACAGCTTTTTAAAATATAGTTAACATGCCTTTCATAGTTTTTAATAAGCAAATGTCTATCTTTAAAAAAGCATTTGCTGTTTTATAAAGTAGAAACCCATGATTTTTTGTGCACATTGCAACTTTACTCTTCATTTAAATTACCAAATGGTATTTACAATGATAAATAATGTAGTATCATGTATCAGAATTCATGCACTCATCAGATATTTCAGGCATCTGAATGAATGTTTAGACCACATAAGGTATTATATAGCAATTTGATACAAGAATGCAATGAAAAGCTGAGAACAAATTTCTGCACTCTGAAAGAAGAGAGTTTTAGCCAAGAACACAATCATACCTCACAATAAAATCTGAGTGAGCGCCTTGCATGATCTGTTTTTCTGAGCGTATATGTTCTTGCTGTCTCGTGTCTACTATGTGGCGTTTCTTTAGTATCTTCATTGCAAAGGTTTTTGATTCATCACTTTTCAACTGCACCTTGAGGAAACCAGACATTTGAATCAGTGGTTATAGTAGAGCCCACAAATGTTGAGCTTTGAGTACATAATTGCTAATCCTTACTTTCAAGTGCCAAGTTATACAATCAACAGGCTTAAAATTCTATATTCAGACTTAAGTTAATGGCTATGACAGCTTATACTTCTTTTGAGTAAAACACATGTGAAGAAATGTTATTGAGTGTTATTTTCACTCAGATTACTAATGAGCTGAGATGGAAACTATGTGGAAGGGAATAATCTGATTTTAGAGAAGCAGATTAATCATTTTTAGGAAGGGAATAATCTGATTTAAGAAGATGAATTTGATGAGAAAGTCTATACAATTATTAGGAAAAATTGGCATATTGTTTTAAATGGTTATCTTTCTAATTTATGTATTTTAAAATGTGTTGTTGGTGGTTTGTTCTCCGAGTTTGTTGTTTAATTTCTGAACCACCATCAACATCTACCACCTAAGCTGCAAATATTTTCCACCATTTTTAATTTTAAAATGTTTATTTCTTTCTTCTTATTCAGTAATGCAATGCAACATATATCCTTGCATTCAGGCCAGGCAGATGATATGATTGTGGTGCTGACCAAGTGCTAGAGCCTGAAAATTTGGATGGGGAGAAACCGACTTTAACTCAAACTTGGCAAGATGGAGAGGCTTTGGGTTTTTGACCTTTTCCCCCTAGAGTGATGATCTGTCATACTTGACTCTGGACAGGGTTGCACCTCCCCAGATGAGCAATTTGGTAGTCCTGCTGGACTCACAGCAAGAAGCAGGTGGCAGCAATAGTTAGGAAAGGCTTTGCACAGATTTGTCTAGTGTCCCAAATGTGCTTTTCCTGGACCCAGAGACCATGCTCACAGTTACCCATAGTTTAGTCATTTCCCATTTGGATTACTGCAATGTGCTTGATGTGGTGCTTCCCTTGAAGACTACTTGAAAGCTACAACTGGTCCAGAATGCAGTGTGTGTGCAGTACTGCATGTTTGTTATGTTACATCTATGTTGTGCAAGCTACGCTGGCTTCCAGTTTCCTTCCAGGTCCAATTTAAGGTGGTGGTTACCACCTTTAAAAGTTTTCATAGCATGGGACATGGTTATGTGCAGGACCATCGCTCCCTGAGAGATCTATCCATGCTACCATATTGGAGAGGATGCCATGCTCCAGATTCTTTCCCTGACATCTTGTTATCTAATGTGACCTCAGAAGTGTGCCTTTTCTATAGCTCCTCTACTTTAAGGAACACCTTCCCCCTGTAAATGAATTGGCAGGCTCTCACTTTTTTAGCATTTCGGAAAGCTATCAAGATCTGGCCTTTTACTCAGGTATTGGGATAGAGTAAAGCTATCTGGAGCTGGTTGTGGGCATCATAAGGAGATGAGTAAGGGACTGCATTTTTGTTTTATTTATTTATTTATGAGACTTATATACCGCTTTAAGTGCAAGCACTCTCTAAGCGGTGTACACCAGTAAGCAATGTATATATATATATATATATTTACATTGCCCCCAACAATCTGGGTCCTCATTTTACCTACCTCGGAAGGTAAAGGATGGAAGGCTGAGTCAACCTTGAGCCGGTGAGATTTGAACTGCTGACCTGCTGAACACAGTCAGCTAAAGTGGCCTGCAGTACTGCACTCTGACTGTTTTATTTAATAGTTTATGATTTTATAGTTACTTGTTTTGTTTTGAGCTACCAAGAGTTGTGTTTAAGATGGGCAACCATTCATATAAATAAACAAATAAACAAAATACTAACAGAGATTGAAACCATGTCATTTAATGAGTTTTCACAGCTTAGAGTAGTCTAGAACATTCCTCATTCTATTCCACCACCTTAATCACTACAAACATTCCTCTCTTATTTGGCTTCCTTTTTCTTTACTCGTTGCCATTAGATGTCATTTACCTTCAATAATGAAAACTAAGCAGGCCAGAAAACCCTTTATCTTTCCATATGTGTTTTTCAATGACATCTCTTTTTAACATTTATTTTAGCTTTATGTAAAAATAGCACCTCCAAACATATTACATTATATACAATTTGGTCAAATATTTACACAAAACCCTTAACATTGATTATGTAAAATAATTTTCAATGGTCCTTTCCTTATGCACTCCAATAACATTAAATTGTCTACAACTGCATCACACATATTCCCATGTTCTCAGAAAATACTGTACAGAAGGCTGTTTCTCTTGTCTTCCCTCCATACCATATGAAGGAGATGTTGGAAATGAAAGGAAAAGAGGAACAGAGATGGGTTATCTCTGCAGTCAACTTACTGTAATATAAAATAGATACTTTCTTTCTAAGTGTCCTTGCAATGCTAAGAAAGAGATTTTAATTTGCCTTGAATGTAAACATGGAAAAGGTTGCATGTTCTATATTAAAGAAAGACGGAAATCCTACTTCCTTCTAGCACTGATGATGTTACCTAGTTTGGTAATGAAACATCTGCAAGAAAAAACACCAAACTCAGACAGCACTGGGGACCCTACCAATACATTTCATCATAAATAATGACTTTATTGATTTATATGAATACCCATCTTGCAAATCTAATTCAGGACATCTAACAACGCATTAAAAGCAATACAAAAGAACAAAAGCATGAAAATCTAGAACAGCTAAAAACAAATAAAGTTATAACTAGAAGCCAGCACGGGTTTGTTAAAAACAGATCATGCCAAACCAATCTTATTTCATTTTTAGACAAGGTGATTAAATTAGTAGCCAAGAGTATCCTTAGACTTCAGTAAGGCTTTCGACAAAGTAGATCACAACCTACTTTTTTCTAAGCTAGAAAAATGTGAGCTAGATAGTGTTGTGTCCTGAGCCTGCAAAGGCAGGCTCGGGACATTGCAATGGTCCCGGGCAGTTGCAAGCTGCCTGGGACCAGACTGGCTGGCGCCGGCTTCACGCGCCTAATTGTTGCCATTCTGCCCGGGGAACGTTGTTAAAAAGGAACAGAGAGGCCTGCGAGCCTCAGAGCTGTAACGGAGTAGAAGAGACTGCAAATAAAGACTTGTTGGAACCATGAGATGTTCTGTGCTCATTCGCCATTAAGCCAAGGACTCAGTACTGGCGACGAAGGTGGGATGCCTTACAACAGATAGAGAAGAATTGTAAGCTTACCCAGGAGTCCTGAAGAGAGGAAGACAGCATTAAATTCAGTACCTACCTGCCAGTACAGTGTCACTGGAGGTAAGCTGGCTGATAGACTCCTTCCTTACAAAGGAGAAAAATGGTGAAGATAGGGAGACTGTCTGAATTCAATGTAACGTACCCTGAACGATGGGAGTCTTATGTGGCCAGGGTAGAAAACTATTTTAGAGTAAATCAAGTAAGAGAAGATGGCTTAAAGGCCACTACTTTGCTGTGTGTTTGTGGTCAAGATGCATTTGAATTTGCTGAAAATTTAGCAGCCCCTGCGCCTCTTGAATCTGTCTCTTAAACAGATTTAAAAAAAACTATTGAAGGAACATTTTCAGCCCAAGTTGTCTGTTATTGCATGGAGACACACTTTTGAACAGAGGGATTAATGAGCTGGTGAATCAGCTAAAGAATACATTGCAGCTTTGAGAAGAGCAGCTAAGCCCTGTGAGTTTAAAGACTTAGAAGAAAGGTTGAGAGACCGATTTGTATGTGGGCTTAGGAACAGAGACTTGCAGCAGAGACTTTTTGCAAAGGAAGACATATCGTTCCAAGATGCCTTGAGAGAGGTCACTGCAGAAGAGGCAGAAGGTGGGGCAATCAAGAACATGACGCCTATCAGGAACAACCCAGAAGCTGTTTCTGTGCACCATGAAGGAGTCCAGGAGAGCTCGGAAGAGGATCCTGAAGATGAGGTGGATCATCTCTACCCAGCCAAAGAAAGAAAGCAGAAGGAAGGCAAAGAAAAGTCTTCAGCTGTACCCAAGTGCTTCGGGTGTGGAGGTCGCCACAAGAGAACCGACTGCAGGTTCCGTTCTGCAATCTGTAGAGCATGTGGAAAGCAAGGCCACATAGCAGCTGTGTGTCTGGGCCGTCAGAAGGTACAACCCCGAGAAGAATTGCGCCTGAAAGGTACCAGGGTCCCCAGCCAAAACAGGGTGGGTTTCTGTGCATCACGAAGAAGCATTTATAGGACAGGCACACACAAGCCACTTAAAAAGAAACTGTCACTTAAGGTGAAGTTGCAGGGAGTTCCATTGGTTGTGGAACTAGACATTGGGTCTGCACTTTCAATTATTTCCATTCACACATTCAGAAAGATTTGCTCTAGCAGTGGGTTCCAGGCCAAGCTTAAGCCATCCAATATAGTTCTAACAGACTTCCAAAATTCCAAGGTGTGTGTTAAGGGGGAGGCCACCCTTAATGTACAATACAAGGATTTTGAAGGTCCATTAGATGTATTGGTAGTTGTGGGTGAGCGCACAAGTCTCATTGGACTTGATTGGTTTGAGGCCTTGGGAATACAAGTTTCAGGGCTTCACAGTTTGCAAACATTAGGTCTACAGGAAGTCTGCAAAGAATTTGCAGATGTCTTCAGCCCTCAGCTGGGTGCATACAAAGGCCCCCCAGTTTCCTTAAAGCTGGACCCCACTGTCATTCCTATCAGAGTAAAAGCAAGGAGAGTACCCTTTGCTTTAAAAGGAAAAATTGATGCTGAATTGGACAAATTGATTCAGCAAGGTGTCTTAGAACCTATTGACTCAAGTCCTTGGGAAACTCCCATAGTCACGCCTCTTAAGGCTAATGGGGACATTCGCATCTGTGCAGATTACAAATGCACTCTAAACAAGGCATTGGCACAGCATGCATATCCTGTACCTGTAGTCAGTCATATTCTGGCCTCCCTCAAGGGGGGGGGGGGCGTGTTTTTGCAAAGCTGGATTTAGCACAGGCTTATCAACAGTTACCTGTTGATGAAGCTGCTGCTGAAGCACAAACCATTGTAACTCACAGGGGGGCATTCAAAGTCAAAAGACTACAATT